CATTAACAACTATCTGACTCATCAATTTCTTCTAGGCAAAAGGAACCCTCAATGAACCCGAAAGGTCAGAATAACACATACACAGACCTGAAAACCAAAATAACAACAATAATGATGCATTCAAATGCTAAGAGGAAGAGAGAGATTCAGAATTTTCTGCCTGGATTGTTTTAGAAAGATACCCTGGCAATCTGTCTCACTCTGATGCCATAAGTAACTGGGACTCCTCAAACATTTTAAGATAAATTTGCTGCTTTTTGTGGCTTGGAAGGAAGCATTATGGGGAGCGCAATGGATTTGGAGTCAGAAAACCTGGGTTAAAAATTCTAGCTCTGTTATTTAATATTTGAATGACCTTGGAAAACTCAGCCTCTTGGCATCTCAGATTCCTTATACAAAATGAAAGCATTGGATAAAATAATCCCAACAGTCCCTTACAGCTCTCTATCCAATTTTTTCTCCTTTTTAGAATACAATTCTTAAACACCCTGATGTTTAGTATGGATATGGGTATGGCTATGGGTTTGATATGGATAATTATTTTAATAACGCAGGAACAAGCATGCTATTGACAATCTCCAAATGCCTCTCCCATTTGATTGTGAGTTCCTTGTGGATGGAGACTTCTTTGTATCCCCAGTGCTTAACACAGTGTCTGGCACAGTAGGCACTTAATAAATACTTATTGATTGACTGACTGAAATAGAAAATTTAGGTTTCTAGCATATTCTCTACCCACCCCTCCTCACATGTTCTAACCTTGTGTGCTCATTATTCTTGGGGGGCGGGGAGGAAGTGGGAAGTAAGAGTAGTTTACCTCAATTTTCTGAAATACCATGATGGGTGAAATGCAAATCATTAGCTTACTTAAACAACTATGCTGCCAACACTGAGAAATTCTTACTTGCTTGTTAAATCTGTCAGAAGCATAAGACATTGTACTGGGTTTAATTTTCAGACCAACACTCCTTTGGAGAAAAAACCAACAGCAACAAACTTGCAGCCCATTATCCATGGTCATTGGTGCCTTCTGTTTTTTGATTTTGATTATACCCTTCTTCTGACTATGATCAAATGAGATACTATTTGTGAAGTGCTTAGCACAGTGCCAGGCACATAGAAGGCACTATGTAAATGCTTATTTCTTTTCTTTCCTCCTTCCTATGACCTAGGCAGAAATGCTTTACTTATGGCTTGTAGTGTGTGGGGATGAAAGCCCTCAGCATCAAGGGATGAGCTGGAGATCATTCCTGGACAGGTCAGTATTATAGTCTTCTGACATGTGGCTAAATCATAGCCACATCTGGCAGGTAGTGGCTGTCCCAGAAACTCTGTATCACAGCCTAGGATGGGCTGGAAAAAAATTCTTTGCCCATTTAGAGCAACAGCAAGAAGAAAAATAAGAGAAAATACTATGCTGGGCCAGGCAAGCATGTATGTCTGTAGATTGCATGTGTTTTCTCCTTCTCTCTCCTCCTACTACCCTTCTACCCCCAATAATTCGGGAAGATCATCCTCTTGTGTTTATATATAGAAACAGCTTTTGTTTTCTTTATAATAAGAAAATAGGCAGTGTAGTATCATGGGAAGACCACTGGACTTGGAGTCAGGAGACCAGGAATTCTGGCTCAGCCTTTTACTAATATAATGTCAGACAAATTACTTCATAGGCCCAGTGGCATAATAATCAGCACCTTGGACTTTGAGTCCAGCTGAATTTGAATCTCAGTGGGACCTTTATTAAGGCAGGCAGTATAGAATAGTATGGAAAGAGTGATAGACTTAAGAGTTAGGAAGACTTCTCTACAAATCCTGCCTCAGACGCTTACTAGCTATGGCACCTTAATTTTCTATGCCTCAGTTTCCTTATCTCTAAAATTGATGGGGCAGGAATCCGTGGCTTCTAAAGGATGTTCTGGCTCTAAATCTATAATCATAGGATATCCCCCCATCTCAGTCTCCTCATCTGTAAATGAGGTGGTGCTATCTCTCTATTTCTCATGCCAAGACTCTAAAAGAAGACATTCATTCAAATTCAGAAGCATTTTGAATTTCCTTGGGCCGCTGAGCTTCGTACCTAAATGGTCAATGGGCTATTTTAGCAGACGTGCTAAGAGAAGCCTGGAAAAATAGGTACCTTGAAAAACAACCACAATTTATGACTTCAGTATCAAGTTAGGCAGCTGGATGGTTCACATATTTTAAGTTTACACATCTCTTGCTTGGCATATTTTGTTAGATTAACAAGTTTTTAAAAAAAGCTTTTCTGTTTAGAAGTGCTGGGGGTAAGTTTAAATTCCAAAATTAACACCAAGTCTCTCCACATACTGTGGATTAAAAACAAATTCCTCCCCCCTCCCCAGTCTAAAAATACCACTCAGTGGTTGACTCATGTCTCCACTGCGGTTAGCATAACCAGGTGGGTGTGAATCACTGATTAGGATGATGTAATTTGCTCAGCATACCAGGAGAGAAGGGTAGCACAGAGCTTGCAATTGGCCCTTCCCAGTGTTGTATGTTTGGGAGTTACTTCAAGGTCAGTCAGTGTCCATTAGTAATCTCTTAACTACCCAGAATGCCAACTGGGCAAGTGGGAGTTCTACAATAATTTTGCAGAATGGATTGAGTGGTGGAATATTTAAATGAAGAATGTGAAAATTCAGTCAGCAGCTTCTGGGTACTAAATAGCGTAGCTGGGTCAGATTTCCAGAAAACGGAACTAACCTCAAAACACACACACACACACACACACACACACACACACACATATGTGTATATATACACATATACACAAACACATACATATGTATATATACACAAACACAGGTATATATACATACATGTGGATATATACACACATATCTATCTATCTATCTATCTATCTATCTATCTATCTATCTATCTATCTATCTATCTATCTATCTATCTATCTA